TTTTATTTTATTTTATTTTTGCGTGTTAAAAGGCCATTCTGTTCTTTCAGTGTGTGCTTTTTGGACTCTTGCGCATGATCCAAAAAGGTGTTACCTTTCTCTTTCTCTTCCTTCTTGTGTGTGTGCTTAAGGCTCTTTTCTCTGCTTCTGTGTCGGCCATGATTCTTGATTTGATTCTTTCAAGTAGGAAAATTACAAGGAGATTCATTTCATACTCATCTCCCCTGTTTTTGCTGTCTCTTTCTCTGCTTTCTTTTCTGGGTTTTCTTGTTTCTCAATCTCTGTAATCGTTTTGGTGAATTTGATTGTTTCTGGAGGAAAATCTGGGAACTGGGTTAATTGCAGAAAGTTGGGCTTAGTGAGTTTTTGTATTTTTCTTGGTAAAGGAGGGTGGAAGCGAAGAGAGAGATTCCTTGTTTTATTTTTTCTGGTTCTGTGTCTTTGTGGATCTCGAGTTTTTCGAAGCAAAAGTGAGGAGGCTGACTGGAGACATGGTGAATTAAGACTGTTTTTTTCTCTGGAAAATCTTGTAATCGTTCTATGATTCTAAGAGAAAACAGAGGAGAGCAGGTTTTTGGTAAAATTTTGAAGCCGTTTTGATGCTGAAGCTGTGAGACAGAAACGGCATAGCTGTTTAAGGCTTTGTGATTTATCAAAATTAGGGTTCTTCGAGATTTCTTGATAGTGGGTGAGGAAGGTGAAGCTTTGAATTGGGTGGAATGAAGCTTTTCCGAATCTAAATTTCGTTTTTTTTCAGTTTGTCAGCAATGTTGAGAATCCCTGGAATTACAGGTTTCGTTTCTGGATTCTCTTTCATTGGCTTCTTCTTTGATCTTCACTGAATTTTCAGTAGAATTGGGTGCGGAGATTGTTATTTTTCCTGTGTTTCTTTGATCATTGATGCCTTTTAAGGTAACGAATTTTGTTTCCCCTCACTTTATTTATGATTTTCATTTTTTTTTCCCCAGTTCCGTTAAGAATATCATGTGACATTTCGCTGAATTTTTCTTTCTTTCTTTTTTTTTCAGCATTTAGTGTTGGAATCATTGTTTTGGTTGAGATGATTACGTTTATGGATTCAAAGGAAAACCTGAAGGAGGTGGAGAAGTGCTTGGATTCTCAGCTGTGGCATGCCTGTGCCGGAGGAATGGTTCAGATGCCTAAGGTAAACGCCAAAGTCTTTTACTTCCCGCAGGGCCATGCCGAGCACGCCTGTGGCCCTGTGGACTTCAGGAACTGCCCCAGAATACCCCCTCATGTGCTTTGCAGAGTCACTGCTATCAGATTCATGGCCGATCCTGAGACAGATGAGGTTTTTGCAAAAAGTAGTCTGGTCCCTTTGGGTACTAATGAGCTTGATTTTGAGGAGGATGGAATTGGAGGCGTTCGTGGGAATGATACGCAGGAAAAGCCTGCTTCTTTTGCAAAGACTTTGACTCAATCTGATGCCAACAATGGTGGGGGTTTCTCTGTTCCACGGTACTGTGCGGAGACGATATTCCCAAGATTGGATTACTCTGCTGATCCCCCTGTCCAGACGATCCTTGCAAAGGATGTTCATGGTGAGACTTGGAAGTTTAGGCATATTTATAGGGGGACGCCGAGGAGGCATCTTTTGACTACTGGATGGAGCACTTTTGTGAATCATAAGAAGCTTGTAGCTGGGGATTCAATTGTGTTCTTGAGGGCAGAGAATGGAGATCTTTGCGTTGGGATTAGACGGGCGAAGAGGGGAATTGGAGGTGGGCCTGAGTCATCATCCGGGTGGAATCCAGCTGGTGGGAATTCTGTGGTGCCATATGGAGGGTTTTCAACATTTTTGAGGGAAGACGAGAACAAGCTAATGAGAAATGGAAATGGGCCAATTTCTAATAGTAATTTGATGGGGAAGGGAAAAGTGAGGCCAGAATCAGTTGTTGAAGCTGCAACACTTGCAGCCAGTGGACAGCCCTTTGAAGTTGTATATTACCCCCGGGCAAGCACCCCAGAGTTCTGTGTGAAGGCCTCATTAGTGAAGGCAGCATTACAGATCCGGTGGTGTTCTGGTATGAGATTCAAAATGGCCTTCGAAACAGAGGACTCTTCCCGTATTAGCTGGTTTATGGGCACTATAGCTTCTGTTCACGTTGCTGATCCACTCCTCTGGCCTGAGTCACCTTGGAGGCTTCTTCAGGTACCACATTCTTTTCTCCATGATACTATTTGTTTCCAAAGGGCTAGTATATGATCCTTTCAACTTTTTAACTCTTCTTGATTTTGGATGAAATACTCAATTTCTGATTTATCTAGTTTTAAGCCCAAGCATCTGTTTGTTAATCTTGAGTTTCCTAAATCATTTTGGCTATTTTTGCTGCCTTTAGTGCAAATTCAGATATATGGCCTTATTTCCTCATCTGTTGTTCTGTTTTATAACTTCCTTGTTGTAAATATGCATCCTTTATGAATTATTTCAACCGTATATCTTGGATTTCTACTTCTTCTTGTTTGTTTGTTCAACCTCGTTGAATGTTCATGAATATGACATTGAATGAACTTTGGGAAAAAATTGGAACTTCACTTTGTTCTCTTCCAGTTTGTTCTTATTTGCTCAAGTTATTTCTCACAGGTTACATGGGATGAGCCAGATTTGCTTCAAAATGTGAAAAGAGTCAGCCCATGGTTGGTCGAGTTGGTATCAAACATGCCTGCCATTCATCTATCTCCATTTTCACCTCCAAGGAAGAAGCCGAGGCTTCCACATCACCCTGATTTCCCACTTGATGGTCAATTTCCAGTGCCTGCATTTTCAGGCAACCTCCTTGGGCCCAACGGTCCCTTTGGATGTCTACCAGACAACACTCCTGCTGGCATGCAGGGAGCCAGGCATGCTCATTATGGTCTATCCTTACCGGATCTCCACTTCAATAAACTGCAATCAGGTCTGTTTCCAGTTGGTTTCCCGCTGCTTGATCACACTGCTACGCCCAAAAGGACATCCAACGGTGCTCCAATCATCCAAAAGCCTACCATGAGTCATAACATTTCTAGCTTTCTAACCATGTCGCATTCTTCTCAAAATTCAAAGAAAGCCAATGATGGGAAGACACCCCAGCTTGTACTGTTTGGTCAGCCAATTCTTACAGAGCAGCAGATCTCTCTGAGCTGCTCTGGCGATACTGTCTCACCAGTTACTGCAAATAGTTCATCTGAAGGAAATCCAGATAAAATGGCAAAATTTTCTGATGGCTCTGGATCTGCAATCCATCATCAAGGGTTAACAAAGCACTCATCATGTCAAGGTTTTCCATGGTATAAGGACAACTGCCAAGAAGCTGAACCTAGATTGGAAACTGGCCACTGTAAAGTTTTCATGGAATCGGAGGACGTGGGACGCACTCTCGATCTTACATTGCTTGGATCTTATGATGATTTGTACAGAAAGCTAGCGGACATGTTTGGCATTGAAAATTCTGAGACGCCAAACCACGTGCTCTACCGAGATGTTAAAGGTGCAGTCAAACACATTGGAGATGAACCATTCAGGTATAAGCCATTTTCCCTTGCATTCTATTTGATCCTTTTCCTAACAATGTTTCCCCATAAATGATGTCATAACGATCCATTTCTCCTTGTCACTGCAGTGATTTCACAAAAACTGCAAGAAGACTAACAATTCTAATGGATTCAAGCAGCGACACCATAGGAAGGTAGAGGAAGAAAGCAATCCATGATTCCAATCTGTATAACCGCTTGCTCAAATCTCTCATTCTTGTGCTGACATTTTAGCCTTCTTGAACCCATGTGACGACCCATATCAAGTTGAGTTATAGACTGCAAACCGAAATCTTTTTTTGTTCATTTTTCTTAAAAAGGTAATGTAAATGGATTTTGAAACTTCCTTATATGTCATAGTATTTAGTTCTTAATTTTCCCATAATTTGTGTAATACAGGTTTTTGTTTGTCC